CGAAGCAGGTCATTCTCACGCCTCGGGCTGCCGTCCTTGTCGGTCTGCAGCAGGATGCCAACGTTGAGATGCTGGATCGCCGCATCTTGAAGACGCTCGAAATTGTCAGTCCGGGTGTCAGCACTTCCGCCGAAGCCGGTATTGACGCCATAGATCACACGTCCATCTTTCAGCTCGCTTTCGAGGAAGGCAACACTGCGGTTCACCAGGTCAAGGACCTCCGGGGCATCCGTGAGGCGTGCCGTTGCGCCATGGCTGCAAATTAGTCTCAGCGTTCGCTCGCGCAAGTCGGATGAATCCTCTGGCGGCCACCACTGGTACATACCACGAAACAGCGATGACTTGAGCGATACTTAGGTCCTGGCCGTTCACTGAACGGTCACCTTTTCCTGCGATGGCTGCTCGCAGGTCCGACCACTCTCCGTGGACGGCCCGGGCGTGGGGGCTGCATGCACCGTGCATTTTAACTTCCCGGTCTTGATGTCCCGGTCCGGAGAAGCTGCAGGGAAGATCCGTGAGACTTGGAACAGAGGAGGATAGAGGCATCCAGAAATATAAAAGCAAAGTGTGGCTTCCCGATCAGTGGAATTACAAGCTCCTGCGAGATCGGGTGGCGTCGGAGAGAACCTCGCTTGCACCTGTCTCGAAAGAACGGATCGACGATGGATGCGATGGAATCGCCGAGGTCCTATCCAACGCTTGACCGGCAAAATTGTTTTTGGGAAGTAGCGGTGGCGCTTTTTAGCGCGCACGAGCCGACGAGTACCTACAGCAGCGGTCGCACCAAAAATCGGCCTCGCATCCCAACTACGGCACCGACACCGCTTGATTCCAAACGCATACCTTGATGCTGGATCTCCCGTCGTACAGCCCGCACACCCCTTGGAGAGCCACGGTGCCGGATCACGCCAATAAGAGCCTTGAATTCGTTGGCTACGAACGCCAATGCCTCCCCACAGGTAGCTCGATCGTTTCATGTCGGGCGACCACCCGCTCAGGTCAGAGATAGGGCCGGTATCGCCGGGCGGCTGGCTCGCGGTGACCCACCAATCCGGTGCATCTCACACACGCAAGAGCGGATAGGAGCCCGATCCATACCCGACTGCGGGCACTTGCTCATTGGCAGGCACAAAACGCGGAAGTGAGCATACGGAACCATTATGTAAGTAAATTTCAAACGATCTGAAGACTATACAAATGCACGGGTATCCAAAAGCTGATTAGGGTATACAGTATGGACGAAAGCATCAAGACGGTCATGGCGGTTCATGGCAATCAACCTTTCCCCAAGATTCCTCCTCCTCCTCCTCCTCCTCCTCCTCCTCCCCCCTTATTATCCTCAGTCACCTGAAGCGATGAGCGAACTAGACCTGGCTGACGCTGATCTCATTCGAGCTCTTTGGCACACCCTGGCCATGGGGCTCAGTCGTCAACCAGAGCCCGCCCTCCTCTCTCTTGCCCAGCACATAGATCATGAAAAAGACGGCGATAGTGGCAATGTTTATGATGAAGGTATCCGCAAGAGACCAAGCCATGGGATCGACGTAGAGCGTGGATGGAATGACGGTGGCGAAGAGAATTCCTACCAGCAAGCTCCAGATGAAGATAACAAAGTTAAGGGTTGCGATGGCCGCGACGTAGTTGCCGACAGTCCGGTACGCACCACCCGCCTCCTTGCGAGCACCGCGACGCTCAAGCCACGCCGAGATGGTGTTGGCCAACCCACCAATCGCGAGGAGGCCAACCACCGCGACTTGCATGGAGCCATGGGCGAGGAAAAGGTCCTCACGCAGAAAGAACGGGCCATTGTGGATCACAACTTGGCGGATAACCATGATGACGAACCCTAAGAGTATGATCAGAGCGGCGAAGATGTCGATGAAAGTACGGTATGCCTTGGATCCTTGTTGCTTCACAGCCATCTTGGTGCCGGTGATGAGCCTCGCGATGCTCGCCATCAAGATGGCATGAGCAGTGGTTTTGAGGAAACCATTGATGTAACCGAGGCGAAGAGTACGAATCTGGCTCGACCGGTCCGTGGTGCCAAGGTGCAAGGATAGCTGAACCGCATTCGAGGCAAGGCTGAAAAGGAACACGCTGATCAAGCACAGAAGTCAGTACCTATTCATGATGGCAAGTTAAAAGCAGCGGGGGCACGTACAGCGCCATGAGCGGAAGCGCAATCTTGAACAAAAGGAAGCCCCCTCGGGCTGGCCCCGAGTGGTGCTTCAGGCTAGCATTGCGGGCGACGAGTACTCCCAGCCAGACAAGGACAATGGTGCTAAATGCGTTGGCAGCCAGGCGGACGCCCTCGTAGGGAACTCTGTCGTTGAAGCTAGACATGCCCGGGTTCGGTATTGGGTTCGGCGTTGTAAGATGTGTAAGTGGCCTGTGGCTCTCGAGATTGTTGAGTTTGCTGACTCTGAACGGCTTGCAGGCTCGGTGATGATGGCCTCGAATTCCCATAAACGGGGCGAGAGCGTTGAAGATATGTTCTCGAGATTCATTGGCCAAGACATGGTGGTTTGATGTTCTGCTCAACCGCCAAGGCCTCAGGGGCTGAGTCTGTCCACAACAGGTCTAGGCAGAATCCTTCAACCCAAGGGGACAAAGACGTACCCAATGAAGAGCCAAGAAGGAAGTCAAGAGGCCTCCATTAACCTGCCAGGCGGGACATCAAAATCCAACCCTATCCCGTCAACTGCACACCACAGCCACTGCCCAGGCGAGCGACCCCTCATAAAACCACGGTTTATTGCGGTTCACAACGTGCCGACTTGCCGCTTCAAGAACCAGAGCCCAAAATGTCACGAGACCTATGCGATATCTTCTCTCGCAAGCCGCCCTACATAACCACGATCAGTCACGAGACTTGTCCGATGGCTAAAACGCCCTGTGTAACAACGATCACACCGTTCCATCCACACAGCCATCGGTCTGGCTTCGACACTCAATGTTTAAAGTTTCAATCCAGGCAACTGGCCCAGCCAGATTGAACGCGCGCAATCAGCGTCGCATTCAGATTCTTGTCTGCATCAGGATCACTTCCCCGTACCCAAGCGCGGGCGCTAGCGTTGACGTGACGGCCAGAATGGGACGCCAATGAAAGAACCTTACATGGGTTAATTACCTGGGCGAGATCTGTGTAACAACCAGAGTTTCTTGTCCTCGTCAATGCGGTTTTGACTCCAGATTTTGCCTTGTGAGACCCCAATCCCATGATAATTCTTGGTGTTGAGGTGGCGAGACGAAGCCACTCCGTGCCGTTATTGCCGAGACCTGCTCGTTACGGAGGCGAGCATGCGGAGATCTCTCCCGCGGCCACGTTTCTTCGATGGGATTTTCCGAGCATTACAATTGATTAGGGTTTCCAGGCTGCCATTGTTGAGGTTCTAGAAGCATACGGCACGGGCGATCTGCCCTGCTATCAGATTGAGACCACGGGGATATGACAGCTGCTTCTTACACCCTCGCTCAGGCACACATCTGCATGTGTGGCATTGCCTAGAGTAGCATGTTGATGGCGAAATGCCACGCAGCAAGACCTCTCCCTGCCCGCAGCTGATATCGTAGGAAGCGGCGTTCCCCGAGGACTACATCGTGACCCATCCCAGTTTCTGGGTCTAAGGAGAAGCTCGTCCACAAAACTCAGAAGCACATTCATCACGGAAAAAAGCCTGCGCCCTGTTTGATGCGATGTCTGCATAGGACAGGCCCTCTCTCCCCTCGTGACGAATCGACCACGTCTTGCGATCAACATGCCACAACGCCTAGAACTTTCAGGCAGCCGTTTTCTCACCTTACCTATTGTCTTATTGCCACATAACCAGCCAAAGCAACTCACATTTGAGCCAAGCGACGAAAACGCCCCGGCAGACTCTTCATCGTCGGCTGAAAACGGGACAGATAACCCAGCCATACGGGATGTCTGGTATCACCTTCCTTCGAAGCACTCACGAAATGTGGCGGGAGCACCCTCGATCAACAACGTACAGAGAGCCACGCATTGCATCTTTGAGCACGGCATATCATCGCCCGCTATCATCTCCTCTTCTGCTGCGAGTAGAGAGGAAACCCCCATTCAGCAGAACAACCAATATCATCCCCCCACGACACTCAACACACGGCCCAACCTTCACTTTCCGTTTTTCACGGAAGGATCCTGATAGTCAGTCGGCTGGACGACAACCGATATCTTGCACAGCCCCCTTTCCCCATCTTTTAGCTAGATAGCGTGATGATGCAAGACTTGGCACCACGCGCCTCGATCGGGCAACGCGGGGTGGATCCCGTTCGTGGCTTTCCGGAAGCACGTCCGGAGCTGTGATCGGGGCCCAGGCTGGGTGGGATTGGGTGGTAATATCAGGTAGGTGACTTGTGTTGTTGAGATTGATGTGATTGGGGCGGAGACTGTGGCAGTCTGAGTCGTGGGTACTACCAAAGTGCTGCGGATGAGGCGGTGCTGATGAGGTCGGCGGATGGAGGTCGGTTACCGTGGGGGCTCAGTAGGATTGAGAATTGGATACGGTGTTGGATCTACCCAGATAGATGAGAAGCCTGAAAGAGAGTGACAGGCGTTTGCGGCGTGGAGGACCTAGTCTGCTTGGGCTCCGGCGGTCGGCCGCCGCGATCGAGGGCGATGACGTGGGAGATCGGGTCATCGTTTGACTTGGACGCGATGACGGAGATGGTGTTGAACCGACCGACGTCGCAGACCTGCCGCAGCAGACGCGAGTGTTGATCAGGCATGAGCTCCTTGCAGTGATGTCACAGGCGTATTCCCTGCACTCGTCTCATCAACTTATCTCCCCTTTGCGCAGGCACCCGCCTGGTTTCGCTGCCGCCATTCACCCAAGCCAAATCACATGCCCGGAAACAACCACGCAACATCAGACCAAACGCGCCCCGTGACTCCCAAGCCTACCGCCCCACCCCACACAGTGCAGCACACACCAACGCTAGGTACCATATCAATCACTTTACCAGACACTGTTTTCAACGGGCCCGTGGTGTAATGGTAGCATTGTGAGGTTGTGGGGAGGTGTGGTCGACTCAAAAGCCAACTCCAGCAACCCCCGACGTTCGAATCATACTACAATTTATAGAAGAGTAAAAAGCAAATCGATAACTTTAGGAAAACCAAAAGATACGACAGCTTTCCCATCGCCCACGCTTCACAGATCTCGGTTCGATTCCGGGCGGGCCCAATTCTTTTTCTCATTCTTTTCAACTTTTCTTCCAAGTATAGGTTTTTCCTTTAGCCCAAGTCTTTCTTGAACCCAACACGATAAACCCACTAGCAGACCGGCATGTTTGGGTGGCAATCGCAACCATTCCATACCAACACGAAGTTGAGCAACGAAAACGAAACACGATAAGTTAGATCAGGTACTGCTGATTGCCGCTGGCCAATTCGGGACTAAGTGAAAACACAACACGGGAATGGCCATTGCACAGTGATTTGCCCATCTGGGGATAGTAAAATGTAAGGTATACATCGCAATCTCCGCAGGTTTGGGAAAGTAGCGCAAAAACATGCAAAGAAGGCTGACAATGGTTGAGAGTCATCTAGGCCAAGGACAAAGCTCATCTCGACATTATACCGAATAAATGCATGGGTCTATTGGGCTTTCAGATCTGGGTTACCAACTTATGTGGATGCCTTTCGATGGAAAATCTTCTCGAAGCATACAAGGAACAGTGCTCTGGCCTGGCCCGACTTTGAACTTGGCATCCTCCGGCACCTAGCTACGCGACAGGATTACGAAACAAGCTCGAGCTTTGACCGTGACCTCTGCTGATGCCAAGAAAGCAGTACCGCCAACATGGAAGCCAGCGATGACGAGCATATGGCTCGAGCGAGCGGGTATGACATTCGGGCACTAGGGATGGTGGCTGGCTTGGCTAGATGGAGTGGATCTGGGGAAAGGAGCATGGAGCATCGGAGACGAGGCCGCGGAGAACGGCCCGCGGAAAAGGAACTGCGGTGTGTTACGGAAATGCCTAATCATAGTGCATCTGAAGTGGAAGGAACTGAGCGCGAGACTCCCCCTGTCCTTGGGATGTCTTCTCCCGGAGGTGCAGTGCGTGTTGGGGGTTTGTGGCACGGCGCTTCGAGCTAGGTCGGCACGCCGCGCCCATCACTTTGAGATGGCCGATACATGCAAGCCTGGATGCAGCTAGAAGAGGTGAAGAGTGTGTAACATGTCAAGGGGAAGGGATCGTTGATCTCCCAGAATTTCGGGGGCCGGATCGGGTGGGCATGAGGATCTGTGTGCGACATGACAGCGCTTTTCTGCTCTCCTTCTGGGTTCGAGAAGTGCCGGGCGGATGATATCGCCCAGATTCCCGGGACGGGAAAACCCCAAGCATGCGGCTCACCAGAGCAAGCACCTGAGTGGCGCTGTTCTTTCCCCGGCTTCGTTGGAATCCTGGAACCCGCTCCCGAGCCTTCGAACGCCGGGAGTTAACCTGTTTGAGCAGTGTCGAGTCCGTGCTGAAATCGGGGAAAGGTGGACGCAGGAACGGCCAGAACCGCCGCCGCCCAGACTACCTGATTCGGCCGGCAGGATATCACCGCGCGCTACTGCAGGCGTCGGCTTTCGGTGTCACCAACTCTGGTTTCTGCAGACCCTACTCGCGCCGTGCTTTGCAGACAGTTATTGCCGGGCCTCCAATCGCGCGTTCCAAGTTGCTTCCTCGACAACCAACGTCGCCAAAGAGCGTCACGTGGTAGCCCGCACCAGTGACCATGTCTCTGCTCTTTCGGCCGCATGAGCGCCGGAGGGTTACCGACGAGATGGTGTCGAGGTGGAGGTGAGGTTGCTGTGTTGCGAACCGCAGTGAAGCGGTGGACCGGGGCGCAGCATGGGAACGCGGATCATCTCTAGTCAGCGGGGCGGGAAGGAAGTACCGGACACAGTGTTGTTTTATTTATGTTTGCGCTGCCGTGTTTCGTGAACCATGAATCGTGACGGGTTGTTGGGTCAGATCCATCAGATTGGCGATGGGATGGACGAGGATCGACACGGTCGCGACCCTGGACTGAGCTTAAAGTGCGTGCATGAGTAGCGACAGGGGGGACAGAGCCCAGCCGGACTCATATCGGCGTGGACTCGCCTGGCTTCGGCGCTGGTCGCGCAGCGAGCTAAGAGCGGCGGGCCGCGATCGGTCGGACATGCACTTTCTCTGCGCAAGCTCCGAGCAGACCCAGGCTGGATTGCGGATTGCTGAGCCGGCGCGCTGGGCGGTGGAGGTGGCAGTCCGGTCCGGAGCCTGCACGGACGGCGGCAGTGAGGACCCTGAACTTGCACCAAAAACTCCACGACAGAGCCAATGGAGACGGCTAGCGCCGGAGGCTGTGGAGGCTGCGTCGGGAAGTGGACCGCGCCCAGCTCAGGCAGAGGAGATGAGATGCGATTAGTGCCCGGGCGTGCTCGAATCAGGAGGGTGCACAGGGCATCGGACATCCAGAAAGGGGAATGCAACAATGACAAGCAATGAATTCCATGTCCGGGACACAACCTTTTCCATGCAGGCACTGCTGACCTGACTTCAGCCCATCCCAACAGGCAGAAAAAAACGAAGCAACGCATCAAATGTGGGTGCGTGGGTGGCTTCCGCGCTTCCCGTTCAGGTTGGCTCAGTGTGGCGCCGGCGTGGTTGCTGCGCTTGTCAGGGCTGGTGCGGTGGGGACGGATTATTTTGGGGTGGATTTCCTGACGCAGCGGACGCCCGCCTGGGCAACTCTATCTCAACCAACTCTCCACCGCGACGAGCACCGAATGCAAATGGAAGCTCACGACAGCGCCGGGTTACTAGCAGGTCTCGCGGCGACATATCCCGCGCTTGTCGGCCGCCCGCGGCGTGCCCAGAACAGTGGATGCCATTTTCCCATGATGAACAGCTGCAGGCAATGAATATGCAATTTTTGGCGTCCAATCTCGTGCCATGCCGCGGACCGAAAGGGCGAAGCTGGATCCAGCAACCGGCCACCGCACTACGGAATACTATGCAGTTCCGGCCAACACGCAGTCCGCCAGCCAGGTCCCCAGCCTGCGTCTCGGCGCCTCATCAATTGCCCACACTTGTCGCACGCATTGTCCGTGGAAGGCCAGGCCCAAGTCCGGCATTCCTCCAACATGTGGTCCGACAGCCGGGATCGTCCAGGGGGAAGGGGCGACCTGTTGCGGTTGCTGCCACGACACACACCGCGCGCAGCAGCCAGCGTCCAAAATAGCCGGTGAGGCTGCGCTACTCTGACCCTCATCTCATATAAGACCTCGTCCGGGCGCCTGCCACCCCTCGACGACGATTATTCTCGCCATCCATCCAGCAGAGACTCGTACGTAGTCTCATCCCCCCAGAACCCCCCCAGTCACTCTTTCCCAACGACTAAGCTTGCCAGCAGGATTTATGAGGTTGTCGGATATCCTTCGCCGTTTCGTGTCTCACTTCTCCTCCAAGCCCGCCCCCGTTGAGACAAAAGAAACCAAGCAACCGATTCCTTCCCTCTCGTCCGGCACAAGCTTAGGCAAACCGAAAACCGACACGATGCCTGGAGTTACTGAGACCAAGCCCAAGAGCAAGTACGACCAGATCCCGGGTCCCCTGGGTCTGGCGTCGGCTTCGCTCGAGGGCAAGGTCGCCCTCGTGACCGGTGCTGGTACGTTCTTTCCCCCATCCATTCCTTATCGCGAGCACTTCTTTTTTTTTTTTTTCGGTCGGCGGCGTGCATCATGCACCCACTTCCCCAATTGTCCACTTAGCCGGCAGCATGGCATTTTTGCCATGGTGTGTCGTCTGGGAGCGTCTCTTGGGACACGTTCTCAGGGGAACGCGGTGCCCGGACGGGTCGGTACATTTTACCCCAACTCGATGTCCGGCCGCCCAGCCTGCCGGAGCCCCACACCCCACACACCCTCCCGGCCGTTCATCCCATCGCTCGCCATTCGCCCGTTTTGGAAACTCCAAATCGGGACGCGACCAATCGAGGCGCGGTGCGCGACGCAGCCCAAAGTCATTTCCACGCCAGCGCGGATGAGCGCAAGCGCCGCCATCACCCCCACTATCAAGCTTACCCCACACGCCTGTTCGGGATCATTATGATGGATACAGTGATGGAGTTGAGGGCTAGGGCAACAGCTAACATGCGCAGGCCGTGGTATCGGCCGTGAGATGGCTCTCGAGCTTGGACGTCGCGGCGCCAAGGTCATTGTCAACTACGCCAACAGCGACTCGGCCGCCAACGAGGTCGTCAACCTCATCAAGAAGAACGGCACCGATGCCGCCGCCGTCAAGGCTAACGTCGCGGACGTCGACCAGATCGTCAGGATGTTCGAGGAGGCCGTCAAGAAGTTCGGCAAGCTCGACATCGTCTGCTCCAACTCTGGCGTCGTCTCCTTCGGCCACGTCAAGGATGTGACCCCCGAGGAGTTCGATCGCGTCTTCAATATCAACACCCGTGGCCAGTTCTTCGTCGCCCGCGAGGCCTACAAGCACCTCTCGGTCGGTGGCCGCCTCATCCTTATGGGATCCATCACCGGCCAGGCCAAGGCTGTTCCCAAGCACGCCGTCTACTCCGCCTCCAAGGGTGCTATCGAGACCTTCGTCAGGTGCATGGCCATCGACTTCGGTGACAAGAAGATCACGGTCAACGCTGTCGCTCCCGGTGGCATCAAGACCGACATGTACCACGCCGTGTGCAAGGAGTACATCCCCGGTGGTGAGAAGCTCGACGACGAGGGTGTCGATGAGGTGAGCTCCTTTGCGACTCTGGGGATATCAAGACAAGTGCTAACTAGACTAGTACGCCGCTGGCTGGTCGCCGCTCCACCGCGTCGGTCTCCCGATCGATATCGCCCGTGTCGTCTGCTTCCTCGCGTCCCAGGACGGTGAGTGGATCAACGGCAAGGTGATCGGCATCGACGGCGCTGCTTGCATGTAAATCAGGGGCATGGTTTTGGGCTGGGGGGCGTTTAGACCGGGCAACGTGCTGGATGGAACAGGCATATGCAATGGGATTACTGGGTCCTTCTGAAGGAGGAATGAAGAGATGAGGGGAGGGGAGGTCATCTGTGTGCGACCATCAACGCATAGAAGCCGAACTGGAGTATTGCACCTACACCTTTACTTGGCTTCGGTACTTAACTCAAGTTTCTTTGTAATGTAAGAAGGAGGGGGCTCCTTATCACCAGCAAATCATTCT